TAAAAGGGGGGTAAACACTCGCCGAGATATTTATTTTAGAAAAATTGTGTCATAATATGATGCGAAAGGGGGTGGTCAAGAAAGAGTTTCAATCACTGGCATCCAAAGATGATTGGGTTTGCTTGGCCAGGAACATTTTGCAGGTATATATTGTTGTAAAAATACCTACAAGGTCCTACAAGCTCTTTGTTTGTACAGTACAGTGTGACTGTTTCGCAGTTATATAATTATGTAACCAGAAAGCAAGGAAATGCATCACGTTACAGTTATGGCGGTCGCTCTGAAGAGCGTTCTGCTTGTTGTAATAATTCTTATGATTAAAAAACCTTGCTTTACAAACAGTAGCTCATGTTGTTACTGGGAAGCCTCGAAAGATTCTAATTCGTTTGAAGGAACGTATATCTATCCATCATTGTGGCAGTATAAGCAAGAAAGATGTCTCGTTGTCACAAGAGCGTCCTTGCTTCGTATTTTATTGCTGTTAGCTGGAGATGTAGAGTTATGCCCTGGACCGATGAAACCTCAATGCCAAGCGTGCTGGAAGACAATCCGAAGAAATCAAATCTCAGGTACTTGTGCCGAATGTAAGAATGCTTTTCATCTTAAATGTTTGAAAGACGAACTGCGAAATAACAAGGAGAAATTCTACTGTAATATCTGCTTTGTTAATATCGCAGATCAAGATGCTGGTTCGCCACAAACTGTAGATAGCAATGTCCTTTGCACATTTATGAAGAAACGTGGACTAAAATTGTTTCACCAAAATGTTAACGGGATTATGAACAAATTAGATCAGATTAGATTGTTTCTGTGCAAAAAAGATGTTCATATCTTCGGGATCTCTGAAAGTCATACTAGTGCGTCAATTAATGACTCGGAGCTTGAGGTAGACGGTTATGTTGTTGAACGTAAAGATCGAAATTCTGCGGTTTACGGTGGAGTACTATGCTATATTCGCGATGGTATTAGTTTTCAGCGAAGGAAAGACCTAGAAATTGATGGGGTAGAAGCAATTTGGGTTGAAGTGTTTATTGTAAACTCAAAATCGATTCTTATTTGTATTGTATACAAACCCCCGGATTCATCCTTGTACCTCGACAAGAATTTTAATTCTAAGTTCGATAATATGCTTGACATTGCTATTAATGAAAACAAAGAAGTTATACTCGCGGGGGACTTAAACTGTGACTACTTGGCCCCAACGGATCATCGAGAACTTAAGGACGTTTTTAAAGTTAATGGCCTCAAGCAATTAATTACCACCGCGACCAGAATAACAGCTCATTCAAAAACACTTATTGATCTGTTCTTTACAACACATGAGCAGCACATTGCAGACTCTATTGTCTATGCGAACTCATTAAGTGATCACGACTTAACTGGCATAATAAGGAAAATAAACTTGCAAAAATTTAAATCCTGCAAAATACGGAAGCGAGATTTCTCAAAATACGATAAGATGTCTTTTAGGAGAGAACTTTCGGTTATCGACTGGAATGGGGAGTTCTGTGGGTATGACTTGAATCACGACTGGAACATATTTAAAGAAAAACTCTCTCGCACTATTGATAACCACGTCCCGTTTGTAGAGAAGTCAATAAGAGGGCGAGTATGTCCATGGTTAACAAGAGAGCTTAAATCTATGATGATCTCCCGTGATTACTATCTTAAACAAGCTAGACAAACCAATCAAGAACTCCATTGGTCGACTTATAGCCGTTTGCGAAATTTAGTTACTTCTGCTATAAAGCATAACAAAGCAAACTTTTGTCGGAATCTCCTTTACAACAATGGTGAATCCCCTAAGACTTTTTGGAAGTTAATTAAAAAATTATATCCTGGGAATAACAAAACATCAAAATCATCTTTTTTTAAGGTGAATAATGAATTAGTATCTGATACCAGGAAAATAGCAAATGGGTTCTGTCGTTATTTTTCAACTATTGGCAGCCGCCTACAACAAAACGTTGTTACAATCACCAACAAAACTTGTAGCTCGCTTAGAAATGATGATAATTTAATGTATACGATAAATCCAACTGGCAAATTCTTCAAATTTTCTAAAGTCAATTGCTCAAAAGTTGCCAAAATACTACAATCTATGAGAATTTCCAAAGCCGCTGGCCCCGACAACTTGCCAGCATCTCTCTTGAAGGATGCGTCTGAAGAACTAGCGCTGCCTCTTTGTATATTGGTCAACATGAGTTTTGAATATGGAACTTTCCCAAATGCAGAAAAATGCGGAAAAGTTATCCCGATCTATAAATCCGAAGATCGAGCATCTTTCGACAATTATCGACCTATATCGGTCCTAAATACGGTTTCAAAAGTCATCGAAAGGATTGCACATCAGCAAATCACAGACTATCTTGAAAGAAACCAATTACTCTGCCCTCAACAATTTGGTTTCAGACGTGGGAAATGTACCCAGCATGCTGTGACATATCTCAACGAACATATTCGTCAAAATATGGATAAAAGTCGATGTACTGGTGTAGTATATCTGGACTTACGAAAAGCATTTGATACGGTTAGTCATGCATGTTTGCTCAATAAGCTGCCGTATTATGGAATAAGAAACATCGAACTTCTTTGGATGAAGGATTATTTACTCAATCGATCTCAGTTCGTATACTTCAACCAAGTTAAATCAGATGAGGAGCATGTATCCTGCGGTGTCCCACAAGGATCAATTCTCGGCCCTCTTCTGTTTGTCTTACAGATTAACGATTTATACTTGTCTTTGAAGAAATGTAACATCATAATGTATGCTGATGATACTGTGCTTTATTATTCAGCGAATGGCACAGATGAAATCCAGAGATCTATCAATAGTGATATCGAACGTGTTTCCCAATGGCTGGACTCAAATAAGTTAATTGTTAACCTGAAAAAAGGAAAAACTGAATTTGTATTATATGGAACGCCTCAAAAATTAGCACGTCAACAGGATTGCAGTATAATGATGAACGGGACATCTATCAATCAAGTTAAAGAGTATGAATACTTGGGTATTATTATGGATAACCATCTAACTCTATCAAGTCAAGTGTCAAAAGTATATAAGAGAGTTTCGTCTCGTTTGAGCCAACTCTCACGAATACGCTCTAATATAAGTCCCTATGTTGCGGAAAGAATTTATCGAACAATGATCTATCCCATTATGTTTTACTGCTATCCAGTGTATTTGGGCCTCAGTAACACAGCTAATTCCAAAATACAGAGACTGCAAGATAGAGCGGCAAGAATAATTGGTCCAAAAAATTGTTTACATGATGATTGTGTAACTAGTCGCAAAAGATGTGTTGTAATGGATGTTTTTAAATCTTTACATTCGATTGGCCCAAATTTTCCCCACGTGAACTTCCAACGTTTCAATCACGGAATAAACACGCGAAGCAACAACTCACGTTTAATTGTACCGAAAGTTAAGACAGAGGCCGGTAGAAAGTCGTTCTCCGTGCAAGGAGTTTTGCTGTTTAATTCACTAAGCGAGGAAATAAGGAATGAGAACTCGTATATTAACTTTAAAAGAAAAGTTGAATCTTTTAACTTTAGTTCGCCGTAATTGTGAACATTTTCGTACTATTGTTAATGTATGTTTAGTGATCATGTTTTGTACATTCTATGTCATAAGAAAACAATCTTAGTTAAATATTTAATTAATTTTAGCATAAATACAGGTCCTTCATTGATAGCAGGCGGTACACTGCCTGAAGAAGTCAACCTGTCTAAATATGTTAATTAATAATAATATAATAATTTTTTATATCATTATAAGAGAAATTTTTCGGTTTTTGAAATTTAATCCGAAATTGAATTTTTTTTGAAATTTTGAAATTTAATTTTTAAGGTTTGTTTCAAGAGTCGAACTTTGCATACGTCGAATTCAATAGCATGAATTAATTCTGTAAATGCAAAATTCGACGTTTCTAATTACAGTTTACCATAACTTTAAATTCGTTAAATTCGACCAAATAATGTTATCAAAGTGCGACGTGGTCTCGAATACAATTCGGTTATTGGCGTAGCTTCGAAGACATCGTGTAATTTATTGAAATATCATATGTTGGCACTTCGGAAAAAGTTAAGATATTTGCTATTTCTATTTTTTGACAAAGTTAGGCAAAATATTCTTACAAATCCCATAAATTTCGAAGTACAGTACATTTGTAATAAATTCATCACATTGTCATTTACATATGCTCTCATACTTTCCTCCTCTGAAAAATGATCGAACGAACCTCGAATTCAGTATATTCTTAGTAAATTCTTTAAATTAAATTCTGCTTATTTATCCTTAGCATTCTTAAAATTGAGATGTTTATATGTCTTAAAATCTCAAGCTTTACATCATTCTGTGTTTGAAATAAATTCATCGTATCGTCAATTGGCATAATATACTTTCCTCATCTGAAAAGTGTTCTTTGCCCTATCCAAAGCAGAATTCAATACAATACATGCGAAATGCCACGTTTGAACCTGTTGTAGAATTCTGTCATGAATTTTAATTTGAAAAGCGGTAACATCTGGTCACATGTGTGTAAAGATTACTTATCATGACACGGAGATTGATTCTTCAATTTCTTGTCTTCTGCATTGCTTTAATAATGCGTAAAGGTAGAAAAATGTAATTTTATTCGACAAATTTCGATGGCTAGTTTTTGGTCATTTTTGTTAAAATGCTAAGGGTGTCACTCAACAGCTAAAACCCTAAACTTTGTTACTGTAAACAATCATATTTGTGCACTCAATATTGGGCGCGGAAGAGCGCTCTGGACTACCTTCCTTTCTTCTAGCCTGCCAGCTGTCGGAGACACGAGTTTCTGACAATCTGAGTGCAGTCTGCTTACTTTTTCTTTTTCAAATATTGTATAGGTGTGAATATAGTGAAATATGGGAAATATAAAATTGAGATCACAACTGACGTCGGTTTAAAAGTCCTGTATAATGGCTTTTCAAACGTTTTTGTGACTGCGAAGGGAAGACATATGAACAGAATGGCGGGACTCTGTGGAAACTACAATGGGAACACGAAAGATGAATTTATCAAAGTAGATATGAAGCGAACTACAAATGTCAACGAATTTGGAAATTCTTGGAAAGTTGGCCGAAGTTGCCCAAATGAGCCTCCTCTTAAAGATCCATGTCTAACTGCTGGTAATGTTGCTCAGGTGGCCAAGAAGAAGTGTCAGTTACTGAAGCAGCAACCATTTGCCGTATGTCATAATTCAGTCGTTCAGGATGCTGGGTTTATCAAAGATTGTGAATTTGATGTTTGCGCATGCAATAATCACCCTACGTCATGTCTATGTGAAGAATTTGATGCTTATTCCACCTCGTGTTCTTTGGTTGGGATTCCTATCACCTGGAAGAATCTTCCTCAGTTTTCTGAATGTCGTAAGTACCCTCATTGTGGCATACAGTCACTGAATATTTCATAATAAATATTATTATTGCGTTAGTTAGTGCATCATTATATATTATATTAGTGCGTGTTTTCGCTGCCAGACTTATCTAAATCTTTGATCTTCCTCGCCATTCTTCCGCTACTGAAGCTCTTGACACACCACAGTGGAAACTCTTCGCCTTCATCGCGATCGAAGATATAACAGTTGTATCTCTTTCCTTGAATGTCTTAACCATCTAGTTGACTTTGATTTTAGCCGTATAAAGAACTCCCAGATATATAGCTATATAAAACACGCAAGAATAGCAACTACTACGTAATTGGATCAAACAACAATTATCTTGTCTACATAAAATAAAATAAAGTCGCAACTGCGAGTTTCACGGTTCTCATTATCCACAGGCATGACTGGGTCAACTGGTTGAGCTATTCATATCATGATCAGTTATTTTGCAATTTGAACATTAATAAACTTTTCTAACTGTGTACTCCTTCATTTTGAGGTATGCCCTGTGCTTCAGGACCTTGTAACAATGGAGGATTTTGCATTAATGAAGGAAATAACTTCAAGTGCGATTGCGCACCAGGATACACAGGAAATCAATGTGAAGAACGAAGTAAGTAAAGCTTAATGAGTTTGACTAGGAACGAACATGTACTTCTAGGGAAGGAAGGTCTATTGAAGATATTATTTTCGTATATAACGGAGCGGTCATAAACTAAGTGCTACCTCGGGGCGGTGGATATTTTTAATTTTGTGAAAAAAATTTCATACCCCCACAAAATTGTCGGATAATATTTGGCACCCCATCAAGATAACGGTCTCAATGTTTCATACCCCATTATAAAACCCATTATAAAATGATTAGCTTACCGGGGTTTATTCATGTTGATATAACTTGGGGTGTGCTGGTAGGCCTCAAAAATTCTGTTGATTAATTACCATTATCCTATAAGTTTTATTTTTAGTAAGTTTTATCTTTCTTTAACTTAAAAATAACAAAAAGTAAAATTCAAATCCAAAATGCTGTTTTTTGGTCCCATTGAATACGACCTCCTGTTAAAAATGGCGAATATTGCTATTGGTTATTTTATGTAAAGAGATAAAAAAAATTTGGATCTGATATTTTTGGGACTTTTACATTCAAAAGACATACTTTTATGTTATGGCATACCTTAGATGTCCATAAATACCACCATTTTTCTTTACAAGCTGGCATTTCTGTACCATATGAAAAGACATACAACTGAAACTGACCTATCTCCCCATATAAACGATCCAAATAATTTTCAACATCACTGATTGAGTGATTTCACCATCATCGCTGTGATATAGTCATTGATGTCATATTGTTCCATAAATCGCATAATATTCGCAATTGCGCATTCTGCTGAAACTCTAGCTCTTTTTGGTGGCATAAGTTCTTTAGTATAAACCAAAGAAACAATGAACTGAATGAAGTCGATCAAGAAAAGTTTGTAGAAAAAATATGAAATGGCGATATATTATACCAGGCCAATATACTATGTGTTACATGAAGTGTAATACAGTTGGGCTAGGAGCCTGCAGTATAGTTTTGAAAACACAATATTTATACTAAATTGGCTGTGAAATTGGCTTCATATCCTGCAATATATTATTGTTCCTAAATGTTTGGTGTTTGCTCAACCTTGAAGGTGGAAAGAAATATGTGTATTTGTATTATATAAAAATATTATAAATAAGTATTTTATATTATATAAGTATTTTATAATATACTATATTATATATTATACTATATTTTACTTTTTTTATAATATATTATGGATATTTTACTTTGCAAATCATGTGTAATAAGGGACCGGTCACAAAGTAAAAGGGAGGTGGGCTGGGAAAATCATTTATTTGGTGTCCGCACTTTTGGTAGCCCATCCCTTAATAGCTGCACGAAACAGGTGGGCTAGGAGCCTTAATTTTTTATACCAAATTTCAGTACTTAGCCCAAAAAACAGATATCTTGTTCTTGCGCGGAAATTTTAAACACAACAAAATGACTGGGGACCAATCTTCTGCATATTTTTACATGGCCCACCCTTATGATTGCGCTTAACTTTCGATGACCCACCCCTTCAACCGTGCTCAAAAATAGTGACTTACCCCCTATTTTTCCCAGCCCCGCCCCCCTTTTACTTTATGACCGGTCCCTAATCCATCTTTATATGTTCTCTAAATATATTATGTTATTTATTTATTTATTTATTTATTTAACTTCCTCATTATCATGCATGCATTCATGGCAGGGTCACCACAACAGTATATGTTAACAATTACTGTGGGCCCTTTAAATTTTAAATAGATAATAAAACACAAATAAAATACAACGGAAACTTCGATTTACCTGATCAAAGTCATCACACGAATTGGAACTTGAAGCCAAGCAAACAAATTCCTCGAAGTTTTCGTTGTATTGTATTTCACAAACATACTTAATTAGTTGCTTGCAAATTTTATAAAACATATAACAATTCATAGAATATAAAATAGCTATTGAAACTTAATAAACAAGGCTAGGAAGATCTGACAACTTCGAAAAATAGATCAAAACAGTAAAGAACCTGGACGTGCACAAATTGACACAAATCTATGCAAATTTAGACAGAACATAAAATTAAGACTTACAACCTTCCTAATCATGTTTATATTTCAATAACTATGAGACACTAATAGCAGCAAGAGAGTGAAGCAGCAAGACTACGAGCAGTGTTACACTTTAAGCAGATAGACTTCCATATCCAAGGATTTTGAGGTTGATAATTTAGGTATAAGGCAGTTTTGAAGTAGTCTAACAGCAGAGATTTAAATCTTGGTAAAGTGAGAGACTGATGTCTCAGTTCTGCAGGAAGAACGTTCCAAACTCTTGCTGTTCTATTCATGAACGACCCTTGGAATGTTACTGTTCTGCATTTTCTAATCCTGAACGTAATGATGTCAGAATTGCTCGTAGCTCGCGTTGTTCTTATATTTCCATGCTTCCGTTCAGGCATTATCTCCTCACTGACGCACACCAACCCGTTAAACATCTTGAAGAAAAACGTCAAGTCTAAATATTCATGCCAGTAACTAATCGGTAGTAAATCGGTAGCTTGTAGTCGATCCTCGTAAGTTAGTTCGCAGTGGAATGGAAGGTTTAGTATGAATTTTGTTGCACGACGCTGCACTCTTTCGACGCGCTTGATAAGCTCGATGGTTTGAGGGGCCCAAATCTGGGTGGCGTAGCCAAGGTGTGGTCGTACAACAGAGAGGAACAGACATCTTCTTGTTCTTTGGCTTCGTATCTCCCGGGAAGATCTCCTGACAAATCCCAGAAGTTTGTTCGCTTTTGAAGTCTGTTCGACAACTTGTTTCTTCCAGCACAACTCATTCGACACCCATACACCTAGATCTTTCTCTTGATTAGCAGCGTCAAGTACTGATCCATTCAGGGCGTAGGGATACTCAACTGGTGTTTTCTTCCGTGTGATGCGCTGGCACTTATACTTCGTTTGGTTGAATGTCAAACCGTTATCTGTGGCCCAACCGTTAAGACTGATAATGTCGTTGTGAAGACCAGCAGTGTCTTGCAGGTTGTCCACTTGCTTCAAAATCTTCGTATCATCAGCGAAACAAGCGACTTTTGATGTATTCACAGTCTTGGGCAGATCGTTCACATATAAAAGAAAGAGCATTGGTCCAAGGATGGAACCTTGAGGAACACCGATGTTACTTTGCGTTCTTTTGATGTCGCACCAAGTACCGTAACACGTTGTCTTCGCCCACGAAGGTAGGATGTAAACCAGTTCAACAGGTTACCAGAGATGTTGTACTGGCGTAGTTTATCAAGGATAAGAGAGTGTTGCACTTTATCAAAGGCTTTCGACATATCTAGATAAATCACATCAGTCTGCTTGCCAGAGTCTAGTAAAGAGCCAATGTAGTCGATAACTTCAACCAGTTGAGTCACGCAGGATTTTCCAGGAATGAATCCATGTTGCGCACGGTCTAACATCAGTAATAGATGGTCACGCAGACGAATCAGAACACACCGTTCTAGAATTTTCGAGATAATACTTAGCAGGGATATTGGACGATAGTTCTCAACATGATCCTTGTTATCTTTCTTGTGTATCGGCACAATATTTGCCACTTTCCACTCGTCTGGAAATACGCCTGTCTCGAGTGACTTGTTGTAGAGTAAAGTTAAAGAGGGTGCGATCTGTTCAGCTGTTTCTTTTAGTAGCCTTGCCGAGATCTCATCAAGTCCAGTTGCTTTGCTGCCGTCAAGGGAACGAAGTGCAGCAGCAACCTCGCAGGGTGAGAGGGATATATCTTGAAGGACTGGACAGCTAATAATAATAATAATAATAATTAATAATAATAATTTATTAATTTATAAAGCGCTAAACACTATAAATATTCTAAAGCGCTATCATTACAAATTCAAATAAAATGTTATAAAGTATGAGATGATACCTATATATACATGTTTAAAATTTACTATTATATTTAAAGATAAAATGCCTTTTTAAAAAAAAGAAAGGTCTTAAGTCTGTTTTTAAAAGTTTCCACTGTTGACGCCTCACGAATGTCAGCGGGAAGTTCAAATTTACTATTATATTTAAAGATAAAATGCCTTTTTAAAAAGAAAGGTCTTAAGTCTGCTTTTAAAAGTTTCCACTGTTGACGCTTCACGAATGTCAGCGGGAAGTTCATTCCACAAAAATGGACCAGCCTTGGCAAAAGCTCTGTCGCCAAACGTTTTCCTCATTGTCTTAGGAACTATTAGGAAATTTTGCTCATTCGAGCGCAGGCTGTAGCAACCAATATGCTTAGGTGTCAGAAGGTCTGAGATATAAGGCGGTGCATTAGCATGAAGAGCTTTGTACACCAGCAACAAAATCTTGAAAATCACCCGATACCGTACAGGAAGCCAATGAAGGCCAATCAAAACGGGAGTAATATGATCGAATTTGGGGATTAGACAGGCCACACGTGCTGCAGCATTGAGAACACTTTGTAACCTATCATATTGAGACTGTGGGAGACCATAAAACAATGAGTTACAGTAGTCTTGGTGTGAAGTAACAAAAGCATGAACCAAAATCTTTGTTGTATCTTCTGAAAGGAATTTCCTTATCTGCCGGATATTATAGAGGCTGCAAAACGCCTTACTACACACTTTTCCAATGTGAATATCCATCGACATATGTGAGTCAAACCACATTCCGAGGCTTTGAACCACCTCCACAGGCTCGATCGTAGATTCACCAACTGTAATTTCATTGATGTTAATCTTTGACATTTGCTGCTTTGAACCGATGATAATAAATTCAGTCTTGGAATCATTTATCAAGAGACGGTTAGAAAGCATCCAGGCACGAATTAATGTCAGCAACACAGTTTTCAATACTCTTTAGTGCAGCATCTTGCGATAAAGATGTATCCGGCCGAAACGAATGATAAATCTGGGTGTCATCTGCATACGTATGTGCATTGGGAAGATGTTTGTCAATAACCTTAAATAACCCAGCCACATAGAGTATGAAGAGGACAGGGCCAAGGCAGCTACCCTGCGGAACTCCCGATTGAAGATTGAAAACTTCCGATTCATGGTCTTTAATTAAAATTGTTTGTTTTCTCTCGGATATATAAATAAGATGTTAGCCATTTGAGGGAATTTCCAGTTACGCCAAAGTCTTTTTCAAGTGTCTCCAGTAAAATTGCATGGTCGATAGTATCAAATGCGGCACTTAGGTCGATAAGCACAAGAAGCGTAACCTCCTGCCGATCCATACTGAGGAGAATGTCGTTCTGGACGTTTAGTAAAGCTGTTTCTGTTGAGTGATTTTTCCGATACGCTGAAAAAATCACTCAACAGAAACAGCTTTACTAAAAGTCCAGAACGACATTCTCCTCAGTATGGATCGGCAGGAGGTTACGCTTCTTGTGGAGGTTACGCTTCTTGAAAAAGACTTTGGCGTAACTGGAATTGGGGGCGAGGTTCTTCTGTATCGCCAGAAAATACCGATGCAAAATGTTGGTTGAAGGCGTCTGTCGACAGAACTAGAGACTACTTTCCGAATGGATGTGACACCCGTGGCCGTGTTTTTGCTGCTAGATGGTGCAGACATTTGCTCAGGAACGCTGCTTGCTTTATTGCCAAGTTTGAAAACGGACCAAAATCGTTTTGGGTTTGCTTTAATGTCCTGTTCTAATGATTCGAAGAATCTTATGTCTTTCGAAATACTGTCCAACCCACATTTTCCCATTTTTGGCCCCGACACCTTGTTTGACAAATGTCGTCAAAAGCAAATGGGTTCATTTGTTCGGGAATGACAGATAAATATTTATTTGGGTGCACTCATTGTGCGCACCCAATGTACAAATAGGGTTAAAAATGATTACACTGTGTATTAAATATACGGTACAATAGTCTCTCTTACAGCCATTCTTTGAATAATATTTGTATCATCATGTA